ATAGGGATTAGGTAAAGATGACAGACAGCCCAATAGGGATTAGGTAAAGATGACAGACAGCCCAATAGGGATTAGGTAAAGATGACAGACAGCCCAATAGGGATTAGGTAAAGATGACAGACAGCCCTATAGGGATTAGGTAAAGATGACAGACAGCCCTATAGGGATTAGGTAAAGATGACAGACAGCCCTATAGGGATTAGGTAAAGATGACAGACAGACCATTAGGAATTAGGTTAAGATGACAGACAGCCCTATATGGATTAGGTAAAGATGACAGACAGCCCTATAGGAATTAGGTAAAGATGACAGACACCCCTATAGGGATTAGGTAAAGATGACAGACAGCCCATTAGGGATTAGGTAAAGATGACAGGCAACCCAATAGGGATTAGCTAAAGACAACAGACAGCCCTATAGGATTAGCTAAAGACGACAGACAGCCCTATGAAATGAGTTAATGACCAAAACTTTCTGTGGGATGTTGTAGTTTTTATTAAAGAGAGAGTTCATTGTAACACAGATTTTTAACTTTCTTTGAATTTGCAATACCTTACTCTTACATCCGGCTAGCAAATATAACTCAAACTAAAGTTCAAAGTGTGACCACCATTTATTTTGAAAATACAAGCGGCGAAAAAAACAAACTAACTTTAAAATTGTTGCATATAAATATTTTTTAATAAACGGAATGACTAAATTTTAAATATTGAAGAAATTTTATTGAAAACGGAGGGTTCATTTGAAATCCGACACATGCAGAAATAAAGTGAATTAATTGAAGGAGGCATGGTAATTGACATCTGATAGATATGATATTCACATGCTGGTGAATGTAGGACAAGGTGTCCACATGCCGATGGATGTAAGGCGAGGTATTGTTAAGTTTAAACTTACCTACTCTGTAAAAATTTGCTTTAATGAATTGCTTCTATTTGAGAGAATTTTAAAATTATTTTAACATCATACCTCATGAGACAGATCGTTATTTTAACATCATACCTCATGAGACAGATCGTTATTTTAACATCATACCTCATGAGACAGATCGTTATTTTAATATCATTTTTACTTCATGAGACAGATCTTTATTTTCTAATCATACTGTTTACATTGAGTATCTGAAAAATAGAATAACAAATTTTTCCTTTCTTTATTTATTTGCAGTTGTACCTTGTTATCATTCATTCAAAGTTAATTTTATCAAGTTCATGTTTGCATTCTTGGCTTTCATGATAGCTGTGATAAGTTCCAGAGAGCTTTTCATGATAGCTGTGATAAGTTCCAGATAACTTTCCAGGAGTCCACTTTTCTGTTAGTCATTTCGTTACCAATGTACCATACTTTGTTGGATCTCAGAAGTCTTATACAATATGCTTTATACAGTATGATTTATGTTCATTGAATGTTACAAATGACAGTGGTTGTATATTGAAGGTCGCCCGCTGGCTGATAACATGTTTTATCTTCATGACCAGGCTCATGTGTCCATTTAAGGATGATCAGTGGTTCTCAACCTTTTTATGATAGGAGTATACTAACGGAAGAATTAATTTTAATAGCTAATCACCCCTTCAGTATGTAATTGGCCTACAGAGAAGCAGAAGATTGATTTGATGAGGTCATGTTAACCTAAAGTAAGTCATAAGTAACATTTCTGTCAATTTATTTCATTGTAGAAGTTGAACAAGTTCATCAAAAAATATTGTCTGACTTAAATATTATTAATAGAAGACATATACAAATGTACAAGTGTTAAAGTTCATGAAAGATTTCAATTAGGATATGCTTGGTCATTTGTAGGGTGTTTAAGAATTCAATTAGGATGAGCTCTGTCATTTGTACGTTGTTTAAGAATTCAATTAGGATGAGCTTGGTCATTTGTACGTTTTTTTTGTTTCTTTTATAAAGTCCAAAATAAAATATAAAAGATGATAAAATTAA